CACTTCAGTTCTGTGGTAGTGGAAGGACCTTAGTAGCACGTTTTCCCTTCATCTGTAAAAAGAAGATGGCTACCTCCAAACCAAAGAAGCCTGCAGTTGACAGCAAAGGTAGGAAAAGAAAAGACAGCACCACATACGCACATGTGCTAATACTTCAGTATTTGTGGGAAGTTTGTAGGAACAGTTTAGACATTTAAGTGAAGCTTGTGTGAAGCTTTTGAAAGATTCGTATGCAAAAAACTTGCAGGCAAAAGTCTGTGAGGTAATAGGTGAATTGGCATACCTGAGTGTACATGGAGGAAGGCTGGATGCCTGTGAAAAATGTCTCTTGAGAAGCTTGTATGTTGGTAGAAATATGTAAAGTGGAACTGAGTTCAGCTAGATATGTGCTTGTAAGTGTTGGCCTCTGTGGGAGAGAGTTTAGCTTTGCAAACTTCGGCCTAGACTGGCTGGGCCTGGATTATATAAAGATATTTTGTTATTAAGTGAAGCAATTATACTTATTCTGCATCCAATGCTTTACATAATCGTTCATGTTCTTTAAATATAGCAGTTCAGCTATGCTTGTGGTCGATTTAACAGTTGGTTTTGATGGATAATATCTAGAGTGTGAAGTCAGTTAAAAAAACACAGCCTTGTGACACTTACAAGTGTTGTCATAGTAGCTTTTGTGCATCTCCCTCAAATGCACTGTGGGCAACCCAGATGAAGGAAAAATATTTATACGCAACTATTGTGTGTAGGGCAGAATAGTATTTAAAAAAAGGATGTGAGAGTAAACTTTTCCTATGCATAGTGACCTTTAACAAAACAGTAGTTAGATCTGACAGAGGATATTGCATTATTCTACTGGTTAATATGTGGTGCTTAATCCAAGTGGTATTTAGTCGCTTAATTCATTTTTGTTCCATACAGTACCAATCTTTGTCACTTTATATTTATTTGTATTTATTCATGTTTGTATACTGGCTGCTTTCTCTAAAAAATATGGAGCAGGGCATCACAGATTACAGAATACACCTCATTAGAAAATGAACATGGCCCTAGTTACCTTTGCCAAGCAAAGGAGCAAAGCTGGCATGTGATTTTCTGCATGAATTTATTTTGATGACTGTATCACTGCAGCACTGTTCTCACCAATTTGTAAACCTGCCATTCAAACTCTCCAGAAGGGAAATATATAAATACGCTGGCTGGGCCCAGAAGAAGAGCCTTTTTTGTTATGGCTCCCGCCCTTGGGATCATCATGCTCCTAGAGGTGAGATTCCCACTTATAATTTTGACCTTCCAAACGAGCCTGAAATCCTGGCTCTGCCAAATGTCCTGTGGGCCTAATGGGAGTGAGTCATACTGGAGGTGGCTAATGGGTTAAAAATAAGATTATGCCTCCACCCTATGTGTCCTTTGCTTCCTTCATCGCCATTTTTCACATTTTAAAGGTTAATTTTAATGCTAACATTCTGTTTTAATGTTTTGCTTTATTCTTTTTTACTTGTTGTGAGACACTTAATGTTGCCTCCCTTGAGATGGAGGCATATAAATTTCATAATATATAAATAAAACAAATATAGGGGACATCTGTAAGAGTCAGTTTGGTATTGTAGTAGTTAAAGCACTTTTCTGGAAAGCAGGAATCTGAATTCTTGGGCCTGCCTTAGGCATGAAAATGACTGGGTCATTTGAGCCAGTCATTCTCTCTCAGCCCAACCCACCTTATAAGGTTTTTGTTGTGGGGAGAATAGGAGGAAGGAGTTATACATAAAAAGGTGCATATTATAATAATAATATTGTCCAGGCATGGCTGTATATCATTTGTGAATTATCCAATGAATTATTCTTGGGAACTTAGATTATTTTTTTGTCTGACTTTATTGGGTATAGTTTGAGAAATGCCTGATTTAAACCCCTTTAGTTGCCTATGTTGAATGGATCTGAACAGATGCAGTTGTGTATTAAAGAGCTTGCCTTGAATGTAAACTATACATTTGTGGTATATTCTCAATAGAAACTGGACATAAACATGTCTCTTTCATACGTGAGGCAGTGTTTTTATACAGGCAATTCTCATTATTCACAATAGCTACTTTCTGTGAAAATGCCACAAGCACAGTACTGAATTAAGTGAATGCTGAAATCTGAACTGTGAATGTGTGCCTTAGGCAATTCCAATGTTTTGCTGTTCTGCATGCCTACTAGTAAGTGCAACAATGCCATGGGAACTGATTTGGGGATGACGAAAACATTTTTGCAAATAAGCAAATTCACAAATAATGAGGATTGCTTGTTATAGTGCTCACATAGTTTTTCAGAACCATCCAGAAATTTGCTGCATAGTCTAATGTTGGAGTAAAAGTTATTGAAATCTTAATGCATCGAGGGTCCTTCCTTATCAAGGGTCTGATGTTCATCAATCTAGATAATAATTATATTTTTATTACAGTGTGTTGTTTTGCACATACTTTAACATGCTTTATGAAATGAAATACTGTACTAGTAGGCATTCAAACTGACCAGGTGGTAGCAGCTAAGAGGGTGGGATGAAGTAGAAAGAATTCTTCCCAATATTTCTGCTTGGTGCAATCTCTCCTTTGGATGTTACATGTCAGATTTTTTTATCAAAAAGGTAAATATGATATTATCTGAGGAGAAACCTTGCTAAATCTGTATTCCAAATTAGCTTGGCTGACAAGAAGACATAGGAGAGAATGGAAGGACATGATTGATAACAAACACATTCCATCCTCAGCCAGGCACCATAAAAACTACAGAAGGAAATGCCAACACCATGTGAATAAGCAATCCAGTCCAGTTATGAACTTCTAGCCATCCAATCTAAAAATAGCCAGACAATAACCATAGAAAATATGTGTCCTAGATTACACTTCTTGGAATTGCACAATTGTTGTTGTCCTGAAGGTACCTGTAACAAGTCATTACCATGGCACCTAGGGCAAAATGGCACCTGATTCTCTCCAAGGATACATAAATAACCATGGTGTATTGCACAAACCACTGTAGAAACTGCAGCTGGATGAGACCAAATTCCTTGTCATTACGGCAGAGGAAAACCTGTACTGCATCCAAGGGCAACAGCACTAGCAACATACAACACTCTTTCCTATTTTAATCAACCTTTTCTGCAGTATTTTAATTGTGCTCTTTTGACAGCACTTATCCTGTTTTTAAAAAAATAGAGATCTGGTACTTTTTCAAAAAAGCACTAAGCCTATTGGAAAGGACCACCTGGGCATTATATGGACAGATGCCTCTGAGTAAGCCAGATGGCTAATCTTTCCTCCATTCTCATAGAGGGCTGCACCAGCAACTGTAGTAAAAGATAGTATGCACACAACAGCCTGAATTGTTCAGTAGGAACTGGTGTTGCCTAGATAGAAACCCAGGTACCCCAAGTTTGAAAAGAAGCTGATAACAGCTTGATGCTTGAATCTAAGAAAGATGTTTACCTTTCCAAAGGAGCTTGTTCCAGGGTTGGGTTTCTACCGGTTCTGTCCACCTCTGTAGAACCGGTAGCTCTGAAGACCAGCAGACATAGAACTGGTTCTATGTCTGCTGATGTGTTTGCCCACCTGGGCCCTTACCTGATCTTTATTTCCTGATTTTTCAACTTCGAATGAGGCACAGCTGCAGTTAAAAAAGCAGGAAGAGGGCTGTTTCAAAGGCTGCTTCTCTGCACACAGCATGCTGATGATGATTTACAGGTGTGTGGCTCCCAGCATGCAGGAAGCTTGTAAATCCGGAACCGGTAATTAACTCTGTCTTTTCCCACCCCTGGCTTGTTCACTCAGTCAAAAATATGAATCCCCAGTAATTCAGACAAGGCAAATAGCATTTATTAAAGGGGGTTGTCTTTTTTAGAGTACAGAAATACATGATACATAAATTCACTTCAGTATATGATACCTCAGAAAGAAATGATCAAACAATAAGAGCAGATTACATGTGAGAATTATATAGTAGAAAACATTGCTTTTAGATAACATTCCAATAATAGCATATTTATTGATTACATTGCTCCCTTTCCCAGCTGAGTTTGTTATCTTCCTTAAAACTTGCAAGTGTGTTCAAGGACTTTTCAGAATATTGTTTAGTTCTTTTATACCAAAAGGGCTAAGGAGAAAAAAAAGAAAACAACTCCAGATTGCTATGCTAAAATGCTAATATTGCTTCTAGTAAAAAGTTAATAATTAGCCTAAAATTACAGGCAACATTGGCAGATTCCATCCTTGACCATTTCAGCAACAATGCTATGGCTAGAGAGCTGGATTGTATGGATTACAAAAACTGCCTGGAGAAGACACTATTTTAAATTCAACAGGAAGACCCTCTGTGAAGGAAGTGGCTGGTTAAAAAAGATCAGAAAAATTAAATTGGCATTCAAAACTCATTTATACTCTAGTCAGCAAGAAATGAGCAGCAGACCTGGAAAATGCTGCAAGTTGTGAGAATCTAGCTATACGGCACTACTGAGGAAACAGCCTTTCGTATAAAGCTTGATTTTCCAGTGAGCAAAACTATGTACGAATCAGGAAAGAAAGTCAGCAAAAATAATAATAATAATAATCTTGGGCCGCTTTATTCAGGAAAAAAAATAGTATAAGCGGAGCAAATAGTATTTGCACACCCTATATTCCCTGCTGCGAAGCCAGGCGAATGAAGTTCAAAGGGTTTAGTTTACATTCTTTAATGAAAAAAACCCAACTCTAGAAACTCACAGCGCGACTGAGCGCACCCGCTATGCGCAACGAAGCGCGTGCACGACTGCGGGGGGCCTCTCTGCACACGAGCCCTCTGAGAGCCGCTCCCGTCCCGTGCGGGCGCGACTTTCTCCCTGCCTTGGCAGTGGGAGCCCAAGGAAAGTAGTGGACTTCTCGGCTAGCTTGGGGAGAGCGATTGCCATGGAAACGAGAACGCGGCGCCTTGCGCGTGCTCTAGGCTTCTGGAACAGCAGCAACAAACCTGGGAGAAGTTGGGCTCTTTCCAGAGCTTGGCAATCATGACGATGAACAAGATGGGAAAAAAGGAATCGCGCATCATTAAAACACCCCCCGGTAGGCTAGTAAAGGGAACCCACAGGGCTTCGTAGTGGGGAAGGGGAGGCATTCTAAAAACTGTGCAGTTTTTGCAGCAGGAACAATACCTCCTTTAATCGTGTGTATTCGCGGAGGATTCCATAATGCTTTTAAAAGGCATGGCATTACAAATAAGCATTGGAAAATGCATCTCTTTGTTTAATAAATTTCATGTAAAACTCAGCCTGTCGGATCACTTTCTGTATGGCTTAATATTGTTACAGTGACTAGCAGTAGTACTGGAGAAAACGGGGATAATGCTTTGTGTGTCACCTGTAATTGTCCTGATACCCTCAGAGATAAAGGATTATTATTAACACCTTTAATTAAAATGTTTACCATACTGAACTAGATCTTTTCTCTTTAATTCCATGGGAGTGGCTGCAGCAGGCTTTTTTTGAACCAGATTAATGAACTTTGTGTGACCTCATATATACTTTACTCTCTTACCATGTACTTCAGCCTCTAAAATTCATTGGATTGAAAACATTTAAAACTGTTTAAATCATTTTATAAGGTTGAAAGTTAGAGATTTAGCCATTATGCTGGCTAAAGAAAGTATAAGGAATGGGTTTGATTAGACACAGAACTCTAGAATAACAGATAGGAAAAACAAGAGGGGCAATGAGCATCCTAGTTGGGAATGCTTTAATGCGGACAAAGCACCACATGTGGGTGCAAAGTGAAGGGAGAAGACAGCGTGATCTGGCAACATGCAGGAGCAATAGATTCCAGGACAAACAGTATTTAATGTAGAATATGATTGTGATCTTTAATAACTTTAAAATGCGGTGAATGAATGAATAAAGGAATAGACCATATTATAAAAACAACAAATGAACTGAAGCTCAGAAAAATCAGGCTCTGTACTTCAGTTACTGTGGTCACTTCTTGCAGCCACTAGTAATATCTAGCCACTGCTAAAATTATGGTTTGAATCCCTAAAGTTCTTTTTTCTTCCTTTAGTCAGAGAGAAGCAGCTAACGAAAATTAGCTAGTGAATAGCAATCCTGCAAATGTGTTTGATATTAATATATCAATATATTATATAATTTGTATGGCAGGATCCATGTTTTCAGTGATGGAGCATGACAAATATTGTAGGTATCTGGTAGGACATTTTCCATTGTTTTGGGGTATAAGGTCTGTAAGCATCTCAGACCAATAATGTCAAATTTTGCCTGATACAGAAGTAACAGATTCTCAAAATAGATGTGGAATAAGGTTGTGGAATAGCTGAATCATGGACTTGTACTGTACAATGAGGTGAAACTTCACCAAAATTTACTTAGTAAATGGGATAAGGATAATATAAATTCAGCAAGTGTGCTTTAACAAAAGGTAAGGGGGAAGCAGATGAACAGATATTCTAATAACTAAAAGCAAAAATAGAGTAAAGGCAATATTCAATTTCTGTTTGATCAATATGTACAAAGGCTTGCATTATTTTTATAAAAATAAGGTTCCCTACAGGAAAGCACCAGAATACAGCACAAAACATGAAGCTATGAACTTCATTATATACATTATATTGACACAGATAATGACAAATATATTGGAATGTGCTGCCAAAGGAAATATTCTTGAGCTATCAACACTCTTCTTTTAGAAAGTGTTCAAGACTATCCCCATGATAGGCATTTTCTGTTTTTTTTTTTTTTAAACTAACAATTTGCATTGTACCCGTTAACTGAATTTCAAATGTATGCTATTTTAATGTTTAACTTTAATCTGACATTTTGGAGGTATTATTGCTTCAGGTTCTTCAGACCAAGAAGTACTGAAGGATAGAAAAGAATAAAAGAGAATAGAGGAACTATTCTTACAAGGAAACAGAAACACATTGCATTCAAGATCAGGGCTGGATGATAGGGACCTGCTTCAGTTATTATAGTGCAACTTTAGGTCACTTGGAAAACACTGTTTGACAAATCCTATCTCCCCTTCTGTGTGGTCTCCTTTCTTCCACTCATGAAAATGATGTTTGCGTCTATATTATGCAAGTGTGATCTCTGACTAGCAACCATTTAGCTCCACAAGCTTCTCTTTGGACCGCAAAACATGATTTAGAGCAGAGGTGTGATTTTCACCCAATGTCTTGGCTATGGCCCTCGTAATCTCTCCAGAAGTTTACTGTTTCTAACTGAATTTTTCATAATTAGCATAATATTGAATTAATTGTGTGCATAATACAATTAATTAAATGTGAAAAGTGTCTGATTTAGTCATGCTAAAACTACCATATATATTGGAATTACTATATGACTGGGAAAATGCTAACATTTGAGGAATTTATAATACATTTTTATATAATAGAATAATAACATTTTTAATGATGATCATGCCTACTTGCAGTTATGGCCCTACTACCAAAAAAAGAGAAATGCTTCCTGAATTATTTTTAATTGCATGCAGACAATATGTGTGTATATTCTCTCCCTCCCTCCCCTTCTCTCTGTCTCGTTTATGTGTGTACAGTATACATACACACACACACATCCCTATATATGCAATAGAGAAAATTAGTCCTTTTTTTCAGAAAAAAAAAGAATCAAACCATTTGAGCAGCCTTCTTCACCAGTCCTAGAAGAGCCAGAACCTGTGAGCTGTGTACTGCAAGGAGATGAAATCCAGGCTCTTGCGATAAAGCCAGAACATTTGGCAAAGGTGGGTATACGGTTTTTCCCTAATTCAGGTAATTCCCTTTGCTGGTGTAGCTTTCATGGCCTTTATCTGTGGACAGTGTTGAGCTTCAGTGTTTGGTAACAGGAGAGTTCCTTATGTTTTGTGGCTAGCATTTGCAGAGGCTAGGGGACTGGCTGGATTTGATTGCCTGTGATCTCTATAGCAGATCCTTTGCCTCTGAAGATGTCAGCCACAGTTGCCAGTGAAATATCAAATCTGCTGGTAGACTATGCTCACTAAACACTGAAGCTCTATACTGCCCAACTGCTTTGCTCTCATCTCTTCTTGGGGGTGGTTGGTGGGTGGTGGAAATCTTCCATCACTTGAATGTGTAAAATAGTCATCATGGATCATTATTTCTCATTTCAATTTTGTTAACAGTTTCTCTTTACGGTCATCTTTTCCTATAGCTCTGCCTACAGTCAGGCTTTGCAAAGTGGAACCAAAGAGACAAGCTCACAAGACAAGCTTCCAATATATGACCTAGTATGATCTATACTAGAGCCATCTCTCCCTTGACTGGAGAAAAAAATGAAGGCACTGTAATGGAAACATGTCAAAAAAAGCATGTTGCCAGGGCATGTTTGTGGCTAGGAACAAGTGGGAAAAGGGATCATACGCTTTTTTAGACTCATTCAACCATCATGATGTCAGTGGAACAGTAAAGGGGACAAGACATCTTTAAAAAAAATTCTCAGTAATGGCAATATGACATTAGAAGATGCCATGGATGACTGGTATGGAAATGGCCTTTCAGTATGTCACATTGTTATAATATTTCAGATTCGTTTTCTATTCATTTGGGAAACATCGTGCCTTCATTGTAAGGTAGCTACTTACCAATGGGTGACATCCTGGGAAATATTTATGTACATTTTATGTGAAATAAATACTAATATTCCAATTTATACTAAAAGTTTAAATGATAATAAGGTACTATGTATGCAGTTTAATATATTCATGCCAGGAAAAGGAAGAGGTGCCTGTGTTGTGGTGTAAGCCAGAAATGTTGTACAAGAGATAAGGGAGCCCTGGAAAGTATGTGGATACCTAGAGTCTGACATGAAGAAAAAAAGATTCTATCATCTTGTTCATGAAAAGGGACAGAAGTGCACATCAAGCTTCATTCCATCCTTTGGATACATTTGGTAGCTCCTATTATTAGCAGTGTAATGAGAATTGTGAGAGTAGAACCATTGTAAATATTGTTTAATTGAATATTTGTTATGTAGCTTCGGGCTGAAAAACCTGCACAAGAAGAGAAAGAGAAACCTGTTATTATCAAGAAATACCTTATACGCAAATCCAGGCCACAAGAAATTGGGAAAAAAGCTAATTTACTGGTTGCTTATCCAGCTCTTCCAGATGAATCAAAGAAAATACTGAATTATTCTGGTACAGTAGTCTCCATTTTTTTCATGTTGTGGTCTTAATCGGCATGAAATTTAGCTTCCCTGTTGTAGTCCCAATTGACTGCTTCTTTTCATTGCAGTCATCTGACTTCAGATAATGGGTGACAGAGCTTAAAAGATTTCATACACATTGAGACAAAAAATAATAACAGTACAGTTAGTCATGATGTATGCCACGGGTGTCAAACTCGCCAAATCACATTGCTGTCATGTGATGTTTTTCCCCTTCGAGAGCTGGGGTGGGCATGGCCTGCATGTGACGCATCTGGCCCACGGGCTGCCAGTCTCACACCCCTAACTTGGTTTATAATATGGTGATCATATTATAAAGATTACATTATGGAGACAGAACAGAAAAGAATACTGTCATAGTTACATATAATTTAGGAAAGATGGTAAATACCAGAAATTCCTGAACAGATTTTTAAATTCAGGATTATTTGGGTTTTAATTAATTCTGGATAGAACGATGATAGAGATGTACAAATCAGTCTGTATTTATTTTGACAACCAAAGTTCATAGCGGAAGCCAGATTTGCTTAACAACTGTGTGATTAGCTTAACTACCTGGCAAAGAAGGTGCCAGCAGCAGCAATTTTGGTCCCAATGGTGGTTGTGACTCAAGAATTACCTGTAATACATTCTAAGCCTCCCCTCCCCATGGTCTTGGGTCCCAGAGCAAAGCCCTGTATTTCCTAGTATGCACATGCAAACAAATACTGCTGAAGAAGGGTTGGAAAAAATTCCAGAAGACAGCCTGTGCATGCTTTCCTTTCTTTGTTTATATGGAAGGACCGTGAAGGACTTAGAACCAATTCTCAAGTTTCAGAATTTTTAAATCCTAAGTGCATGCCATTTTGGCTAATTTCTGAATGGTGAATTCCCAGTTGTAAGCCAGAAATAGAAGAATGTTCACCTACTGTCTTAGAATGTGTATGCTGCATCATTTATTTAACATTTTTAATATTATATATTAAATTTTAATATTATTATAGGTGTAGAAGGACCAATAGTTGATACCTTTGGCTATATCACCCCATATAGCATTTTAGGAACTCTCCAGGAATTCAAGAAAGAAGCCATAAAAAAAGGTCACTCTCAGGTTTGTATCATTATGTTATTTGCAAAGTAGCTAAATATTTCCATTAATATGTGATTCTTCCTTTGATGTGTTTTTCACAGTGTATCAACTTTTATATTGAATGAGAGCTTATGTTATTTTTTTCATTATTTCAGTCTTGCATTTTCAGCTATTGCTTTGCTTTTATGTTATTTTTCTACTGTTCTTCCTTCCTGTGCCAAAGCAGCGCATTCTGGAAAGAACAGTGATAGCATAGTAGCCACCAATTTTGTCCATATGTTGACTAATTGATTTAGTATGGAATGTAGCTGTTGAAAGGACAACATCACACAAGCTCATCAATATGCCTGAAGGACAATTCAAGAGCAATTCAAGAGCTCTTCTTCAAGAACAGTGCCCTGGGTCACGCAGACAGCATAAAAAGATAATGTAATTAGCTAGGCTACCTATCACAACATTGTTCTGCCTTTCTTAATTTGTCATTGTCTCTTTTCAGCTAGTGCGAATGATTCCTGAGGAATCACAGCTTTCTTGTGCAATCTCAGTTTTTGGAACTTACAAAAAAAAACCGGAAGAAAAAAAGAAAGTAGCCCAGAGCCCTCCGTCTCAACACCGGGCCCTTCAGAACTGGCAGCGTAACATGGCAATCAGGAGGAAGCAACAAAAAAGGCTGTGTGGTATACAAAACTTTGTCAGATCTACTACTGTGCTTGTGGAAGATACATCTTAGTGTTAGCAAACATCTCTGGAGGGAAGTTCTAGGCAATTTTGGAAGTAAAACAGATAGACTTTAAGGGTGAAAAGATCTATATGAGGATAATTTCCTGGGGATTGTGATATTGTTTCATTTCTTATTTTTGTTCTCAGAATGTCTTCAGAAATCAGAAAGTCAGTTGCTGATGAACTTTTCAGAACATTACAGGAGAATCCAGGAACAGCGAACTTTAATTGATCGTAGTATTCCAGCTATGTATTCGGGAAAGGTGATAATTCTGCAAATAATTATCCTAGTTTTATTTAGGTCAGAAGTTCACACTCTAGTTGTTTTATATTGGAAAAACTTGCAATATTTTGATAACCTTGCATGAGATCTTATAAGATTTCAGCTTAGAAAGTGCATGATTGTTAGATTCTTAGGAGATGTGATGATCTTTTGGGATTTCAGCCACTAAAAAAATATGTTAATTTTTGATTGTGCCTGAATAAACTGTTGATTATTTACTTTTCTAAATAATTATGATTGCATGTATACATCCATAGTGTCCAAAAATATTTGTCAGTTGTACTGGAAAGGAATGAGCAAATCACCTATATATTTCAAATAGAAAACAATATATGTGGCTCAGGGTTGAATTGTGCAGTGCACTGATGGTGTTACCTAGTTAGGTAATGAAACATCTGCAAGCAAACAACCAAACCCGGAGACTATCAAGAATTCTCTACCTGTATATGATCACATACTGTTACACTGAGGTCAAGGTACTGTAGAAATATGGTTACAGATACTCAATATAAAGTACTTGTTGGTTGTAGGCAAATAATAAAACGTAATTGGAACAGCCATTAATGCTGTTCAGTTTAGCTTTCTGCTCACTGCAGGAATACAAATTAAAATATTTCACACAGAGGTATGTCTAGCCTCCATTTGAACAGATCCGGTAAAGTAACTTTTACACTGTCAAACTGTTCTACTGTGAGAATTACCGGTATTTTTAAAAAATCACTTGGAATGTGCATTTCTATAACTCAAGATTCTGTTCCGTTTATATTGTTTTGCTTTAGATTTCTTAAATCTATTCACTTGCTTACCGCTTTTTATTTCTTGAGTTTTCCAGTGGAAGACAGCATGTTTTTTAAATTTTTCAATAGATGTGTAGGGCAATAAATATATACCTTATCAATATATACTTTATCAAAACAGGATAGGGCAGACAGTAATTACAGATATTAGGAACTAATTTGGATATAACTTTTGTCATCCTTTGGTGAGCTGCTATGTAACAATTAGAATAATTTTCTCATCCCTGCCCCATTCCCCTAGAGTTGGACATGACTGGAAAGGGGAAATCTATGCATCCACCTTACTCCTTTTCTGTTATTTTTTTCATTGGTCTTCCTGCCAAATGTTATTTCATATTCTTTCTCAAAACTAAGCTTATATCTATATGGCTTTGGCTTTCTTCATTATTAATAGGGCTATTCAGGGAATGAGTTCTGGAATCAGCCGGTGCACGTTGGGGATGAAATCAAGGGTCTAACCACAACTTTGGGTCAGACAGATCTGGGATTTCCAGAAGAGGTCACTCATGTTGGGAAACCCCGTAGCATCTGGAGAGAAATGGGTAAGGCACTATAAGCACTGGAAGTGTATACAGGGTTGTGCCATTAGAGAAAAAGAAGAGCTGAAATCATATCCTGATGCCAGTATACAGCTATGGAGAAACTTGGGGAATCATAGTGGATTTTGGCAATAGCTATGCATCAACTTAGTAAAGTTACTACATGTATTATTAAAGCTGTTACATGTATTGGTGTGTACATGCCCAGGTCACTCTCAGATATTCTTACAGGTACCAATCCACCGAAATATCTCCCTTTTCATCGGCCCTGGGAAAAAAGTCTCTTTCTGCAGCATCGGAGAAATGAGTTAAAGGAGGTTTTAGAAACGCTGGATTTTCATAGCCCGGTATGATACGTTCAACACATAAAGCCATTTATATATTAGGAAATTGTCATATAGCATTTCCTGTAAGATTATATTACACATTTCATTTAAATATTCTGATTCTTCTTTTGAACAATAGAGTTAAAATGAATGAAAACACAGTGCTTTTTCTTATTTTCCCTTCTTGAGGAAGGATCTGGATGGGCTGGAAGTCATAGGCAGAAATCAACCTTTCACCAATGTGTCAGCAGACAGTTTTTCGGCTTGTGATGATGCTGACAATAAAGAATCTTCTGAAGAAACAACCTCGTATGTTGCAATATTTCATTAATGGATTTTAAAGCTTTTGCAGTGGATCAGATTTCATTTGAAAGAGTTGTTAAAAGTGCATATGCATGAATATTCTATTTGTTTGTGTCATTGAAATACCTGTATCTGTTTTCATCTGGCTGTAAGAGAAGCCAGATTGAACTGAAAATATACTTGGATATGGGTTGGGAGGTTTAAGTGCTTCATTTGAATCTCTAGCACAATTAATTCAACAACAATATTATTTTGCATATAGCCTTTTGGAAAGAATAATTGGTTTAAATAATTGGAAATGTGGTGATCAAAATACACCACTGGTTTATACAGTGTGGTCATGGACTCTGGGGTGGGGGACACCTATTTCATACATCTGCCTACATTGTCTGGGAAGGCACATGTACAGCACTGTGCCTAGATATATGGAATGACAGCCCTTCGATTCTATCATAAAAGTCTGTACTGTAGCAGCATTAAAGAAATACGCTATAAAGCAAAAGTTATACCTGACTTTTGTAGAGTGTGCAGATGTTCACTATCAGTTACATAGTGGTCTGAAGAATTTATCTCAACAAGTGGTTTACCAGTTGGGGGATTATTTAGAAGTTTATATTGCAAATCTCAGACTATACACTTAATTTTCTTACCAGCTAGTATGTTTGAATATTTAAAAAGAATATCCAATTGATAATGTGCTGTAAAAAATGGTTTCTACTGATTCTTCTTCATATCATTTTAGAGAGAGGTTTGAGGGAGTGGGATAGTACAGCCTGGAAGCCACCTTTTGTCACTTTTTAACAAAAGTGGTGAAATAAGTAGATGGCACGGCAGTTTCTACTTGCATTGTCAAGTGAGTTGTTCTTTACCTTTATTGATGTAATGTGGTATGTATTTCAATATTTAGTTTAATCTTACAATACTGCCCTTCCATTAGAAGCTGGCTTGGATTCTTCCCTCAAGTGAACTCTGATTCAGCAAGTCTTTAAGTCATTAGCTGTTCCGATGTCAGCAATATACAAAAGCTGAAGCCTGAATCTGTTTTCAAACACTTAAAAGATTTCTGACTTTTGCTTTGCTTCACAGGGACCTATTGGATGAGTATCCAGATATATTTTTAGAACCAATACTTGGTCCCTCTCTGAAGTTCTGTGGCCAACCAGCTCGTTGGATCAATACTTCTCATGCGGTAGAGTTGTAAAGAATGTTCAAAATAAAGACTCCCATGTCTTTTACTTTTTGGGTGGGGCGGGTAATTTGGCCAAATCATTTTTATAATATCAAACAAAACGTTACAGCATCATATTAGAATTTGAAGAAAAGGAAAGAATACCTGGGAAATTACACACACACACACACACACACACACACACACACACACACACCAGCTAAAAGACAGCTCTAGCTTGGAAGTTCTCTTTGTTGGTGGAGGAAATAATTTAATTCAGATGCTATTAAGCAAGATATAGGCTGCAAATTAGATGTGGATTTGTTTTGGGCTTTATCCATTTGTGTGAACAATATAATTCTTTCTTTATGTACTAATTTTATTAAGATTACAATTACAACCATGAAAACTAATGCAAACTAAAAAAATAAAAAAACAGAAAGTGCAGAAAGAAAGGAAAAAAAGAGGAAGAAAAAGAAAAAAATAATATAGTAAAGGAAAAGAAAAGAAGTGACTTTCCTCTTTGTCAGAACAAGTATGGGCAATTTTAGTAAGTTATCACTTCTTAAAATACAACAAATTTAGTCCTGATATAAGTAAAAGTCCATTAAGTGTTATAAGAAATAACAGCATATATAATTGACCCTTAAATAAACCAATTTTATATTTGTGCCTTTTACTTCTAAAATGTTTTAGTTCTTTACAATAATGTTCTAGAAATTGATTTCTTCTCATTTTTTCTTTGACCCTTTTCACATACATTTTTCAAAGCTTTAACAAGTCCCTTTTGTAAATCCAATATAGAAAAATCATCTGAGTCATTCCCTTGGTTTATTATTTGCATATCCCTGTTAATTATTAAGACTTCAGACAGTTTCTTTTGTATGTCCAGTTTAACTCCCCTACCTCCATGTCATTTTTGTATCCTATCATTTTAAATCCACTCCAAATCAGTCTCAATCTTCTCAGGTAAAACTTGTTCCTATTCCATAATGTCTTTTAAACATTATCTATAGAAGCAGTGAATTGTCCTTTCAAAGATGCCAGCTGTGATTTGAGCAGAACTCTAAAACTGCAGATGTTGCACAGGTTCTGGAACCTTTGAAAATCTTGTGAGAACTTCTTGCACCTTGTTGGAAATTGCAGAGGTCACAGGAGAATGTGTTGTACTTTTGTGCGACTTCCAGACATTCTGGAAGTCGCTTAAGACGGCCCTGTTCTAACGTGATCTTTGGAACTTCCAAGAAAGGAGCGAGATCAGCTCATGCTTACTTGCTTTTTTGAAGCTGCAAGACTGAAGTTTCCAGGTCTCATGCGACTCAGAGCTGTCTCAGATAGATAACTCTTTTCTGAGAAAAACTAATTGAAAATCATTTACAAGTATGTAAGTTTTAAAATTATTATTTATTAATTAAAATTATATGTCACCTTTCTCACTATCCAAAGCAATAGCAGCAACCAATAGCTCTTAGGCTTATATATATCACCCTACAGTGCTGTACAGCATTTTATAAATGGTTTACAGTCAGCATCTTGCTCCCAACAATCCAGGTCCTCATTTTACAGACCTCAGAAGGATGGAAGGCTGAGTCAACCTTGAGCCATTAAGAATCGAACTCCTGACTGTGGGCAGTTAGCCTGTAATACTGCATTCTAACCACTGCACTACCAGGGCTCGTACACATTTTGTGACTTTTTGTTATGAATTGTCTCTTTTTTCCATGTGTATATGTGTATGTTTGTGTGTGGCACAGCAGCAGTGTCAAGTTAGCCATTTTCTGAATTTTTGACGGGTCAGCTCAATAGGTTCACCATTCATTGGTGTTGCTTAATTTTTTATAAGTTAATTTTTTATTAGATTTGAATCACTTTTGCAGTGGTGTTGTCTGATATAGTAGAATTTTAAAAAATGGGTAAAGTTTGGCTATTGGTTTGAGCTCTGAGCTTGGCAATTTGGTTGCAAATGTTTCATAACCATTCAAGCAGACATTGTTAAGGACTCCTCTATCAGAACACAGGTCTTTAAATACCTTTTTATTAGATGCAAATTAGTCACTTGTTTGTTCGGATATTTCTGAATCATGGTCTGATTTCAGACTATTTGATTGGTAGGTTGTTGTTGCTGTCTGTGTGATACAGATTAGAATTAGAGTTGTTTATCTGGGTGTTTCTATGTCATGGTTTGGTTTCGGCTTGTTTGATAGTTTGAGTGGCTGGTTGTTGTTACTAAGACGTGGTCTGATTTCTTGTGATCCGATGAGTTATAATGTTGTTGCTGCATAGTGGGGTGCCTGTTTGTTTTAAATACTAATTTCGGGATCATGGTTGATGCAGTTCTTTCGTTCTCAGCGATTGGTAGATGAGTTTATGTCAATGTGTCTGTTTATTGATTTATTGGTGAAAACCAGGTTTCAAGGAATTTTCTCTCCTTGATTTCGCCTGGGTTATAACTGGTCCTGCTTAGATCAAATCTGTGACCTTCTGAATCTTTGTGGACTGAATCAGACCATGACTCAGAAATAACTGAACAAACAACATTCAGATTAGTTTGCATCTCATAAAAAGGTATTTAAAGACCTGTGTTCTGACAGACAAGCACAACTCAAAATGCACTGACGATGTCTCCTTGAATCGTGACAAAATGTTTGCAACCAAATTGCCAAGCTTGGAGCTCAAACCAACAGCCTAACTACCAATCTGAACTACTAATATTCAAACACATTTCAATGGGTAAAGTTTGTTGAATTCACATGCAGCAGAAAGCAGAGGTCCATATAATGATGATCTATTATTATCATCCATTTAATAATTATTAAAGTAATAAAACGCTTCAATGAAACTAAAAACCGACATTTAGTTTTAACTCTTTGGCAAAGCCAAGAAAAAAAGTAAATATCCTGGCAGTTTGCTTTCTTTTATTTCAATAGGGTGAAGTTGGCATTGCAGCCAGGGTCACCTTTGAAATTCTTGTAGGTGATAAAGCTGAATCTCTCCTCACAGTGAACAATGATGGCACCACAGCCATCTGGTATGACTGGCGGAGGCTCCCTCCCCCTTTTACTTTTCAGGAGAAAATAACAAGAGGGATACAGAATTTTTACTTTAATACTAGATCAGGTGAGTGATCTGTTATTTTTTTAAGCGAAGCTTCATTCATTCATTTGTTTATTTATTTATGCACCAGCCATCTCACTCTGCAAGCAACTCTGGGCAGTTTACAATTAGAATAATAAATATCAATATTAACAATAGTAAATAGAAAACTAAAAAATGAAAGAGAAGAACGGTATGGGGGGTAGCATCTTCCCTATTCATCCACCAGGCACCTCCAGCATAGAGAACCCCCAACTGGACCCCAAGCCAGAGTCAGATTTTAATGATCTTCCTTCCAGAAGGCCAAAAGATTGCAAGCTCAGGTAGCAAGATGTTCCAAAGAGGGCGGACCATAGGAGAACAGGCATTGCTCCTAAATGCCAAAACACTTTGATTGATGAAGTTGAATTTTATACAATAGATCAAATCAATCATGCCAATTTGATCATCAGCACACCTTTGAAAGGGATCTCAATAAGTTCCTCAAAAGATGCTGAAGGAAATGGACTGGCTCTTTCTCTCTGATATCCTAATTCTGACAAAACAATGTAAAGAGAACAATGTCAAGACAACCATCCCTAAGAGTAACTGAATTCTCATCCTATGTTTCAAACATTTATGTGAAAAGTACTTGGTTTCTCTGAATTTTGCACATTTGTGACTTTAAATGTTATTAAACCTTGATGTGCATCCTCCTGTGTTCACAGTGGACAGTCTGAGTGAACAAACAATCCCAAAGTTCAGTCCTGTTCCATTTATTTCATAAACGATATAACACAATGTGATATGTGAGGGTGGAAAAAACCATTACCTTAAATAGCATTCCCAATAAAAAGTAAGTTGCTTAAAGTTGGAACTCTCAAGCAGAATTGTCTATTTTCCTGTGTATTATTATCAAAGCCTTTAGAAGTACAGAAAGCTATGCAGTACAGTATGTGATTATTAAAATTTATATAATTTGATATATTTTAATGTTTTTATCTTACAAACTAATTGTTTTCATTGTTTGGTTTTAACCTTGAGAGGTGTCAGGTGAAAAAAAAAGCGCAAAAGAGAACTGATAAGATCTTTACTGGAAAGCAATGAATAGTCTGTTTTTCATTAATTTTTATAGTCCTAATTTGGCTATTTGCAACAATAGCCTAAAAGGTGATGATGAATTTGACTGCTCTATTTATCTTTTTATATCCAAGATCCATCGTCTGCTTATGTAAAAAAAATAATGCAAATATAATCAGCCCATAATGTTCTGCATTAATTTCTTTAGATGGTAGCAATCTAATTTTGCAAACTCATCTTATTTCTTCTCATAAAACAATCTAGCTTATATTTTCATTAGCTAATTTAAGTTTTTTAAAAACATTTTGAGCATACTTGAATCCTGGGCTTGTTATGTTTTAGGAGCACTCTTAAAACCTGGCTTTTAAAGGAATTCCTGAGAGAAAAATGTAACAAAGTAGAATACTTATCTTGAATTATGCTTGGATGCATTGTTCTTTGTGGCCTTATTATTTTTCTTAGTAACTTTTGTTATCATTAATATGTGTTATTGTTTCTTTTATTATATTATTTTTGTATGCTAATTACTTCTTATGATGGGAGGAAAGATTGGGAAGGTCAATACAATGAACACAATCAGGTGTCCTGCCAGAGAAAGTGATCCTCTTTCCTTCCCAGTATGTGCTTGCTGTTCCCACAGGTGTGATTCTACCTGGAGAAACCATAAATTTTTCCTTCATCTTTAAATCATTGAGTGGAGGCATTTTTAATGAGTCTTGGGAGTTTAGTACTCATCCTGAGTTATTAGGAGGAGCTATGCTACAAGTGACTCTTTGGGGAATTGCACTTTATGAAGATACTACAGTTAAACTCAGGGAGGATCTGGAGGTAACCAAACCTATTTTTATGAGATACATGGTAGAAGAAGTTTTGCTTCTAAGATTGAATGTTATGGAAGATGAGTAGATTTGCACTGCAACTAATATTTCATTGGATGCACAAAAATAAAATTTCCAATCAGGTTTTCTATAGAAGGTTATGTGGAAGTATTACTGAATAGTGATTTTGTATGTTAGTACAAATCCTAGTTTCTGATAATCCAAAATGGCAACTGTTTGAGTTCAAATTACAACTGCTATAAAGCCTGGTAAAATACAGTTTGTGATGGGATAAAATTAATGAATTAACCGGGTTTTGTAGCTTAATGTGTCATGTGAACATGGCCTGTCTATGCATACATTTTATACAGAGACAGGCTATGTTCATATGACACATTAAACTAGAAACTCTTTGCTGTTATTTTGCTTGAAATTCCAGAAAGACTTAGAGGCTCGAGAAATTGCTGTTATAGTAGAAGAAAATCTAGAAGAGTTACTTAATCGGATTCGAACACCAGCACGAGTAAGATCCCCAGTTGATGCTTATGTCACTGAAGAAGAATTATTTCACAGAAAGAATCCAGAGGTACAGTTTGTCCTTTACAGGGAATATGGGATACGGGTGAGGAGGGAGAATAAATAATGACTGATACTTGTCAGGTCATTGGGAACCAGTAAGAGAACAACCTTACCTTCTTTTTAAAAAAAATTTTTTAAAGTTTTCACATAAGTAAAAGATAAATAAAAAAATATTTAAAGGCAAGAATGAAAAAAGAAAAGAAAAAGTGCAGAAAAGAATACAGTTAAAGGGAAAAAACAAATAACTTTCACCCTTTACAGTAGTTATAAACTTACCTTCTTCTTCCTTAACATTACAGCAATCCCTTCAGCTCCATGTTCCTTCTTTTTTCAACCATCAAATCAAGAAATCATTTCATTTTTTTTTCATTCTCAGCTAAAAATCCATAAAAGGACCTGATTAGAAAGTCCTAGTAGTGCACAGATATAGGTCCTGGCTGGCATATAAATGGAGGACCAGGGTGAGATGTGCAAGAGAAACTCCAGCTGCACTGGTATGAAAGAAGACCTTGGCCAGAAAAGTAATAGTGGGAAGTACTGTGGATGTGATGGTAGAAGGTAGAGCTGGGTGGTGGGGCAATTGATGGCAGTGAGTAAGCAGGTGGCCAAAAGGCAGCCTTGATGTAGGTGGGCCCAAGTGAGCCAGAATTTTGTTCATGTGACTGTGGGGCTACTGCAGTAGTCATAGGTGTTCAGTGCCATCATAACCTCAATCAATTGCTAAATGAATGGACATTATTAAGTGGGCTACTGTAGCCAAAATTCGTAGCCCATTTTATCATGTAATCTTGCTTCAGTATCAAATTTGAGCAAAAAATATACATTTTTGCAACTAGGTATTTAGCATAGGTACACTATTGATTTCCAAATTCTGTCTTCTATTATTCAATCGCCATTACCATGCATATGAAAGCCAGTGAAAATTAAATCCCTCTGCAGTTAATTTCTTGACTTCATCTTGAGCTGCCCATCTTCCTGTATCAATAAGTCTGGATATTTTAATCATTTCTCTTTGTCTGCTGTTTTTCTTTTCTATAAAATGCTTCCTGTGCTGAGACCAGTAGAAAGTATTTTTGGCTCCAATCTGGGTTTATATTTATTCAACATCTTTAATATGGCACTTCTCATATAATGATTTTTGAAATCTACATTAACCTTATCATTCTACCAAAAAACATGCTAACCAAACCTCAGATTATATTCTTCTAATTCTAGCATTTTATTTCTCAGCAAAGCCCACTGTTTCATCCAAATCAAATAGCAGACTGCAAAATAAATTTAAAATCAGGCAATCTAATCCTTTTCTTTCTTCTGCTCATTACAGAATTTTATATTTAATACTTGGTTTTTCATCTTGCCATATAAATCTGGATATGCATTTTGCTATTGCCATTTTTCAAAACAGGTATTGTTTGAAATAAAAAAATCTTCCTGGGTAACACATTCATTTTTACCACAATAATTCTTCTAAACATAACTTTTGTAACTTTTCCTGTCTTACTAGATCTTCCTTATTACATAAACTCATGGACTGACCTTGCGAAAAGCTCCGTTGTGTGTTCCTTGTCAGATTGACAAAGGAAATAGGCATGCCCAATCAGCAGGCAACTTGTGAGATCTTTTATTACACTGCCAGATTGGGAACAACTTCCTCAGTCAAGGAGCAGCCTAACTGGTCCTTAGGACAGGATTTCTAGATGTAGGAAGAAAGATCAAAACATAGTTCAGGTTTGTTTTTGAAGCATATGAAGAAAGTGTGTGTCAACTTTAGCCATTCTGTTGCTGGTTTCTCCCTCCCACGCTCCCAATTTCAGCTGGATTAATTCCTGTGGACACGGGGAAGAATTTTAGAAGAACCACATTCTTATACACAGCCATTTTCCTTCATTTGGCAATAATTTCTTCTTTATAATAGATTACATGCTAACTACTAACTTTCCATGAGCATTTTCATGCCTTAATATTGTCTTCATTTGTTTCTCCATCTTTAGTTGGCATTGTACCAGAAGGCACAAATTCACTTGTCTGCTCTATTTTTCGGTCATTTATATACAAGCGTGCATATTTTTTCCTTTGATACATTAACTTTAAAATACAAATTGTTTGGCTAATTTTACTGTGAATATTAACAGGTTTTGAGCCAACAGTATACATTTGCATGCAGATATATATAGTCACTTATATCATAAAAGTATTTTGCTTTGAGACTCATGTTTTACAATGCTGTGCATCTCTGTTCAGGCTTGCTGAGTTTATTTATTTATACTTCACATACTGGAATATAAAACAGTACATAAAAAAATAAAATGTTAAAGAGTTAACATTTTGAGTTAAACACTTTTTAAAAATGTAATTTTTAAGGTGTCAAGAATAATTAACCTTGTTACAAATAGTTGACAAAGGGAGGACTGTCATGGCAATAATCAGCCAAGTGAGTCCTTTGGGCTCCCCACACAAGGCCACAGACCCATATTTTAACCCCTTTTCGGAAGCCAGGAAAGTGGGAACCCACCTCACCTATGGGGAGGATATTCCATAGGGCAGGGGAAGCAGCAGAGAATGCTGTCTTCCTAGACCCCACCAGTTGGAGTCATTTAACTGACAGGGTTTAACTGCAATACACCGTCCCAGCCTGACCAGGTTGGATGGGCTGATGTAACGGGACAGAGTCGGTTCCATAGGTAGCCTGGCCCTATGCCATGTAGGTCTTTATAAGTCATAACCAATACCTTGAATTAGAGTTAAGTGGACCTTGTTCCTTTTCACTGGGATTTATTCCAGGGATGGCTAACCCATAGGGCATGTGGTGTGTCCTTCTAATCCCATTTTTGTGGTCCAAGAGCTTCCAGCAACACAGTATCCAAAATTTATTGCTAAGTTGGCGAATAATGGCTGTGAGGGCTAGATCTGGAAGATCCAAAGCAAACAGCCTGAGATGAGACTCAGTAATTAATATTATTGTTAGAACAACAATTCATAGGTTTCTCCTAGCTCTCCCATCCAAAAGCAGAAAAGTCGTATCAGTCCATCATACCATACTGGGATGAGGGGAAAGAGGTACGAGATTAGTACTTGAAATAAACATTGTGAAGTTACTGGATTTCTTCTCTAACATGTTTTTTTTAATTCTTGAAGTAAATTTAACTTATTAAAAGGCTTTTCCTAGAATCACTGCCTGTGAGGCTTCTAGTTCTGTTACTGGCCATGTGCTGTCCAGACAGTTTAGAGTTAATGGGATTTGGGATAGTTAGGATTTGAGAGCTGTCCCCTTAAGGGGCATCATGGTAAATGTAGTTAAGGTATCCTGGGAAATGTAGTCCATGTCATGTGGTCACATCTGTAATCCTGATTGGTCACTAAATTGACCCTTGTTGGGTTGGCGGAGGCTCCCTCACTTGCCTGAAGCCACCATAACCATATAGTCGCTTCAGTCATCATGGGGTTGAGACTTTATTATCTTTCTACACCACAATTCAGATATGCAAAGGATTGGACATTAAGAAGAACCTCGTCATAAATGTGAGTTGACAGGATACCTGATGAACCAATAAAAAAGACTTTGCATGGATACTTTGTGGAATTGATCTGTCTGCTTTATGCCATCCAAATATTAATAAGCAGAACAGGCCAGTAGAAGCCCACATGCAACTGCACATATGCTAGTCCTGCCAGCTGTTCCTTTTAAACATTTGCAGCATAAAGTGAAATTCTGAAGACCCATTTCTCTCCCTCTCTCTCTCTCTGTGTGTGCGCGTGCACGCACGCGCTTAGCCTAAAACTGGACAATACCAAGAAACTTTATAATAGTAAAATAAAATGTGAAACACAATGTCTACCATAAAGTTGCAGAATTGCAGACTCAAAGTTACATGCGAAGATGTATTATGGTGTACTTCAATTATTTCCTACATATTGACAGAAAACATTTCTGACTTACAAAGTACATAAAAAGTGTGCCTTTTACTCTGGATGAGAAAGGTAAAAGACAAATTTCTAAATGGTGGATGGTAGAAAGGAAGTAATTTTTATTTTAGAATTCTAGTTATTTAAAAAAGGTATATGAATAGATAAATAAAGTACGGATGTGTATTAGGAAACAATGCATTCAGAGTGCTAAAAAGAGAAATGCAGTAAGTCCCACTGCAGATGTTAAAAGTCCCACTACTTCTCAGTCATGCAGATGAAAGGAATCAAGCACTATTGCACATCTGTTTGTGCTGTAGTTCTTTCTGGATATGGACATCTATTCTTGGTCTTTTCTTTATTAAGTCAGTTTAAATTTTAAGAAAAGAACCTGTTAGAGACAAAACACAAGCTGTTGGCTGACGCATGTTAATACCTGATGCTCCATGAAATTAACATAATGAACTGTTGCCAATGTATCTGATTTTTTAAAAAATAATAAATTAGCCTGCTCCCAGAGCAAATATGGGACCACTTTTTGTTTTATATATAGATTGAAGTATCAAGATACATTCAAATTCAGAAAGATCTCCACCCCAGAAACCTTGTTGAGAGGATGTGTCAGAATTGGTTGATTCTTTATATGCCACTTTGTCATCTCTCTCCTTAACAGCTGCATTACAATCACCAAGTTGTAAAGGGGCTTCGTGAATTGTGGAACAGAGTTATGAATCCTCAACCTGTAGAAGTGTATGTAGAAGAAGAACAGAGAAAAAGCATTGTCAGTGAGACTTCTCCATCCAAGAGTACTGCAGACTCTCAGAAGAGTCCTGAGGATATCCGCAAGAGTCTTTCCTCGCCTACTTTCATAACAAAGAGCCTTGGGCTGGAAGAACTGGTCGATCAACCGAGTAGGACTGACACAGAAGAGGGGGCCCAAGTAGAGGAGCGAACCCATGTGGAGTGGAACCTTTCTGTTGCCGATTTTAGGCAGGTATGTGAATGAGGTTTCTTATTCCTCAGTCTGAGAATATTTAGAGAGAATCCCATCCTTTTACCAGAATGTCCAATATTTTCTAATATGGAAAATGGCAACATTTGAACTTTGTCCATAGGCATCTTTTTTCATTCAAGTAAGTCTCCCTGTTGGTGAGTGTAGGAAGAGGCACTTGCAAGCCCCACTAACTGTGCCTAATTTCACCAGCATTACTATTTACTGAAATAAAGGGAGTTTGGCGTGTCTCTTTTGCTCAGGCTGCCACTTTATAATTTGATACTCTTCAGGCATTATGATCTCAGAATGACTGTAAGTATTTGTAGTTCTGCTTGTGTTTATGTGTGCATTTTAGAAAGAGTTTGATATTGATTTCTATTTCTTTAGACGTTGCTGACAGTCCCTGAAGAAGAAGAACGGGAAGTTGCCCTAGCTCAGCTCAATAAAGCAGCACTGGAACTTTGTATTACTCCCCTGACAACTCAGGAAGATCTCCTCTACCCGATATGGTATGGTGTATAGAAGTAGGCTGTTCCGCCCAATGCTTTGCATATGTAATATTGGCAGCAAAAAATCTTAAAATAAACCCATTGTACAGTTGGTGAGAAAAGATACAAGGCAGCTAGCAGATCTCATTTATTTTCTGTATGTGGCATTTCCTCCCGATAGCTCAGAATAATATCCATTTGTTGTTCTGTTCCATCTTCCTTTATAACCTGACATCAGCCTTGTAAGGCCGATTAGTGGAAAAGATAGCATTTCAGTTTGGAGTTACAAATCAGTTTTCTGGCTGACTAAACCCAATTCTCTCTTTTTTTATTCCACCATTTGCATAGTAATTCACAGATACTATTTTCTTCTCTAAGGAAATACCCTTGATTTATTAGCTAGCAAGCTTCATTTAGGACAGAAGAGAGCAGCTTATTACCCCAACCTCTTCTTGGTAACTTTTGAAGCTTCCATGATTGTGTGGTTTAACTTTTGTAGCAAATAGCAATGCAATTTTCTATATTTTTAAAGGGGGTGGGGGAGGGAGGGAGAGAGAGAGAGAGAGAAGTGCACAACTAGTGTAGCATCCTTTATTTTAACTCTCCAATTTCAAAATGCTTTTAAAAAAAAACAAAAATTCTCATCTTGTTCCCCAAATATTACTGTATCAGTGTCAATTCCCAATGTCTTTGAAAGCCATAAAATGGCCTTAACAGCTACAGTGCTGTTCACCAATGCCCACTCCAATTTAGGGATATGTTATTTCGGACATCAGGAAAAATAACCTATTCTGTGTAAAACATTTACTTAGCTAGGAAATAAATATACAGTTAGAATTGTAGAGAGTTGAATAATTCAGTAAAAATATTGATGGGTGATTCACTAATAAACCTATTCACTGTTTTTCACAACTCCTTTTCACCCTAAACCTTTTTCAGAACTCCAAAGCCCTTGTAAAACATAATCTTGGGAAATTTAAATAACAATAATATCTTTTTCTTTAAAAAATCTTTTTTGCTTTTTAAAATGTTTACAACAGCCAATTATGACGAGGCTTTGTCAGAATTTGATTCTTTATATTTGCTTAGCCATTGCTCTTGGAAAGCTAAGAAGAAGGTCAGCTAAATCAGAAGAAACCAAGAGTTTGGCTTGTAAATCTCATTAAGGTTTCATCCCCATCCCTGGAATCCTTTTCCTTCCTTAGTGGATTGTTGAAGAGCAGCAGTTCTCAAAATGGAAGTAGACATGTTAAATATAGTATCTCAATGTATTGTGCAAAATGAATTAAAGGCCCAAAGGGATCTAGCCATATAGTATCTCCTGGGTCTCCACGTAGTTTGCTATTCTAGTCTTACATCTTTTCTTTGTTAGTGGGGTTCATTCTGCTGTTCCTCTGCAGTGGGCTTTTAGATCATTCACTTATTCCCAGTGATGAAATAAATACAAGTTATTTTCATTCCTAGAAGCTGTCCAGTACATCCATGTATGAGTTAATACTCCATGCTGCCTTTCATTCTAAGATGATTGGCATTGGTATTTTTTAAAGAGGTGGTTGAGCAAACAGATTCTGTCACTGGGAGTTTTGTGTATAAAAGGCTTGTTTTGTTCCCAAATCTCTTTTCCTTATATATGGATTATTACTTAAGGAACAGGGCGAATATTCACATCTGGTGCAATTGGTATCTCTTTTTAATTACATTTATTCTGAAAACAAAAATCTTGTGCTACAGATACCACATATTCAGGAAACACTGCCGTGGGAGAATAACTCAAAAATGTTTTATTTAAATTAGAAACAGCTTTTGTAAATTTGGGTCTGCCTTTGATTTAGAGAAAGCCATAAAAAAGCAATGACAGAATTTTGGCTTGTTCTCTTTTGTCTCTTCTTTCAAAGAGAAATAAAATCAGATTTCTTTCCCATATTAGTTTCCAGTTGTGGAGGGAAGTAATTGATGGGATGGTGAACTGCTCATTAGTGCTCAGGTCTCTGCTTGGTATGCCCGAGAAAGACACTTATGTTGAAACTGCTGCAGAAGAACTAGGTAAGTTTGCCTGTCAATTCAGTAGCTCTGACTCTTAAGAAAATGGACAGCTACGCAACATTAAGAATGGTCACAGTCCCTGCTTGATTCAGGTATGAGGTCAATATCATCCCTGTTTCTTTAGTTTAGTTTACTTTATTGTCATTGCACCTCATACAATGAAATCAGACACCATCTTCAGTGCACATCATGACCATGACAATAAAAAACACACATCCTTCTCTCTTCACACATTGAACCAAAAAAACCCGACACCAAACCAACATTGCACTATACAGCAGAATTCAAAAGAGCTACTGCCCTGGGATAGAAGCTGTTTTTCAGCCTATTTGTCCTTGTTTTTATTATTCTGTACCGTCTGCCAGATGGTAATAGTTCAAAAAAAGGGTTCCCAGGATGAGATGGATCTTTGAGAATGTTTTGAGCTTTCTTAAGGCAGCGGGAGCTATAAAGCTCTTCCAAAGAGGGGAGAGGGCAACCAATGATCTTCTGGGCAATGACATTAACCCTCTGGAGTGCTTTCCTATCTGCCATGGTGCAATTGGCAAACCATACAGAGGTGCAGTATGTTAAAATGCTCTCTATGGTGCAGCAGTAGAAGGTCACCAGCAGTTTCTCATTCGGTTGTTGTTTTTAAATTGTTCTTAAATTGCATTTAAAATTTTACTAGTGTTTCCAGCTTACTGCTTGCCAGAAGGTGGCTTCACTAATCAGAAAGGCCAGTAAAATAATTGTTAATCCTAAATGGAAAGAAATTATTTTGCTTATTTTCCAGCTGTTGCAAAGGCTGTCAAAGAAGATCGGAAAGTTCAGAAAGATGATAAGAAAACTGCTTTGAAGGAAAAGGAAAAAGGAAAGGCAACCAAAGAGGTAGATATATGATTGGTACCTTCAAAATTAATATAGAAAATGAAGCTTAATCAGATAAAACTGCATTATACAATCTATTTCAGGCTGAAGACTACATTTGGCCTGTGGGTGGTAAACAGAGAACTTCAATGCAAAAAATAACATTGAATTGAAAAGTGGGCGGAAGCAGGAAAAACACCTTATTTAATTTCATTTAAATTTAATACACATTATATTAAATAAAGAGTTAGTGTGATTACCTTCCATATATCCTTCCACTTTCCATTTTCTCATATTAAAAATTACAAGATAATAGCATTCTGGGGATACTATATAAGGTTCTGAGAGTTCAGATTTCACATCTGTGAGATAAATGAAGGATAAAAAGAATTTTGTAGGTTTTTTTTCCATCTGAGTTCACCTTGCTGTTGGTTTCAGATATACACTGTCGTATTTGAAGCTATGCAAATCAGATTGTTCTGATCTCCATTTGGTGTAATTGCATCTTTCTTAGCAAGAACGCACAAATAGCCGAAAAGGCAAGGGAAAAGAAGAGAAGAAAGTAAGGACTCTCACAAAGGAAATAAAGGATGGTATCTCTTTTTCAATTGAATCTTCAGAAGTAGAACTACAGTTACGCCGAGAACAAATCGATCCAATTGTGCAGGAAAAATACCGTGAAAAACTCTACATTGAAGTAAGTTTGTACTTACACCTTACAATAGGAAAAATACTAAACTACAAAACAAAACTAACAATAAACCAAACAAAACTTATAGCGGCCCCAAATTTACAAGAGTAAAAGGCCTGAATGAGCAGAAAAGCCTTTACTTACCAAAAGTAAAGATACCAAAAGATCACAGCTCCTTGGTGGTGGGCAAATAGCACTGGGAACATTCCAGTGACTATAACCCTTCATTCAACTTGTTCCCCTTGTGGTGTGTTATGTCAGAAGAGATATCAGAAGGATGCTTCATACAGTTATTAAATAGCACCAGGAAGACTAGAATCCTACAGTAGCCATATACATGATTACCGAAGGGTTGAATACTAGTTTCTCAGGACCACTCTCTGCAAATTCCTATCCTGACAAAAGTAAAACAGAGCCACTGTCAAGTACTGCCTCCATGCAAACTCGGATGACTAATCTAAAAGGATATAATGGTTGCTAAGGTCAAACACTGCTCAGAAATAAGGAGAATGAATCATGTAACACAGACATTGCACCAACATATTACAAAATAGGGAGTAATATAGTCCCTCCTGGCTATAGTTGTTTTAAGCTGCCAGAGTTGCTTAACATGGGCAGCCATGTAAATCTTTAAAATAAATACAATCTCCGCCTTGTTTGTCTTCACTAAAAAACAAAACTTCCTACAGTTCACTAGTATTTTACTATTAAATATTCCCAACTAAAATACATATATATGCTTTTATTTCTTTTGTAATTTAGTAATGAAACGGATGTATTAAAAGAAAAAAAATCCTTGACAAAGGGGTTTAGTATCAGCATATAGCGTCTTTCCCTAGTTAGGCACTGTCAAATATGCTGTATTTGTGCTCTCAAAATCCCGTGTGAAGTTATACTGTGGGCCAGGTTTCAGTCCCTTATAGAGATAGTATACAAACTAGGCTGCAAAGCCATAACTCCAGGGCAAATATGTAGAAATAACAATTGATTCCTGCTACACAATAATCTTAATAGCATAAGGAACAGTTATACTATACAAACTTTACTCATTTTATATCAAGCATATGGAACAGATTATTATAGCTACATAATGCTTTCCAGGCATATGTTCTCTAGCTAACTTCTTTAATTTGGCACCGTTCAGATGTATAATTTATTGGATTTCAGTGTCAATATTTTCCAGATAGGAACTGTACATTACATTCAGGTATGGAGCAACAAAGTCGGTTACCAAATGTGTGGTATAAACTATTACATAATACCCTCCCTGGCAATGTTTGTTCTGGAAGAGTAAAATAATTTGAAAAAATATGTAATATGTTATATGTCCACATAGACTCAATATTTACTTCTAAATAAACAAAAGTTTATTTGAATTTGATCTTTCATTCAGGTTTATGGACTGCTGAATTCAATGGTGAACAAAATGGTTTTCCTCTTTGAGACAGTAAAAAAGAATGCTCTAGAGAAGAATAAAGCATCCTTTGTCTAAATTGTAATTTTATAACAAAATAAATTACATTTGTGCACACATATAAAAAGTATCAAAGAAGTTTTATTTATGAAAGAATAGAGATTAATTGTGTCTCTCCTGCAGGCTTTTGTATAGACAAATACATCTCAATACAGTTTAAGTTCTCTTGCCAGCTGAGAAATATTAACCAGGTATATGAAGTCAAAATTTTACAATATTGATGGTATATGGAGGTGATCTTTGGTAACCACATTGGCCCAGTGTGGTTTAAGAGCTGTGCAAGTGAGTGGAATTGATTTATCCATCTATATACTTTTCTCATTCTCTCTCCTCTCCTCCCTTCCCCGCTTCTCATGAGGTTAAGCCCTCTATTCAGTAGTCCTTATCAAATTCACAGTTGTTCCACTTCTGTTATCAGCAACAGAAATATCATTGTCACCAAGGAGCAGTGAGATATGGGAACAGAGACTTAAACTGCTTCACTGTCTTTATTAAGCTTGGTATTTTCCTGTTCTGACTCCATTCAGAAACAATCTGTTCCTGGCTGCCCACCTAATGGCTGAACTGCTGGATGATGGAGAAAAAGTAAGTAGAGTGATGATAGACCACAAAGAGAGCAATTGAGGGCCATATGTGGTCTACAGCTTGCCCATATGTGTTGAATGGGAGTATCTAGTTCCTACCATCACCATCACATGACTGACTGTAAGGGTACTTTATTATTTTTATTTGGATTGATTATTGGGTGCTTACCAGACAAATACTCTCAAATGCCCACTTTGCCATGCTGATAGATCCAGTGTTGCCATGGAAGTCAGTAAATGTCTCAGCTACTTTGTCTTGGAGGGATATAATATGAACAGGGGAAGAGATTTTTGCAAGTCCCCTTCCTCTTTCTGCAGTGTACTTTTCAGCCAACTTTAAACATAAGTAAAGTCAATGAGACCTTTATCTTAATTACCCAGAATTGGAAGGGGTCATTTATGTTATCATCTCCAACTTCCTGCTCCATCCAGGAATGATAAAAATATCACTGAAAGATTATATTTAACCCCTGCTCAAACACAGATAGCAAAAGAAAGCCCATCACTTCAGTGTGTGATTTGTTCCATTGTCAAACTGATCTTTCTGTTGGATTTTTTTTCTAACATTCAAACAAAATTTGCCTTCTTGCAGCTTCAAACCATTTTTTCCAGATCTCCACTCTGCAAGAAGAGTGAAATCCTAAGTTTCTATGTGATGCCCTTTTTGATATTTCAAGCATGCTATCATGTCCTCCCTCATTTTTCTCAGAGTTAAACATAACTAGTTCCTTTAATCACTTTTTCTAGGATTGTTTTGGATCCCTTAATTATTCTTCTGGCAACCTGTTTCAGTTTATCTGAATCCTTAAAGTGTGACATCCAGAACTGGAAACAGTACTTGAGATGGTATCTGACCAAATCTCCCTGTGACTGAAAATTATGAGTCTTGTCAATACAACACAAAATCACATTTGTCTTTTTAAGTCCCAACACACCGCTGCAAATAGTTTGCTTTTGTATCACAGACATTAGAAATTCCCACAAATCTTGAGTTCCGTTTTCTGCTAGCATTTCCTGTCCTGGAATCCTAATTTTTTTATTTATTACTAAATTTATTTGCTGCTGATCTCATTTTATTTTGAAGTGACTATTTTTCATTACTCTAAAAATATAAAAACCTGCTTTTTAAATATTTCAAATCTAACCAAATTCAGCTTTAAATTTCTTTAAAATTAAGAATTCCAGCATGTACCTGTCACTCCCTCACTATTCCCGTAACCTCCGCTTCCTTGACTAAGGGCACATCCATCGATCCTGATATTAGCTTGAAGTTATATTGAAGGAACTATGCTTCCTCTTCTCCCTTGCCTATAGCCAAGAGTTATAAAGTGGTGTTTTCTATCTTCTTCCAACACAAACCTTGCAAATGTGCCATATGTGCTGGTTCAGAAGTGACTGTGGTGATGGTAGAGCCAGCAAAATGAAGAAGCCTTGACCAATTATCCTGAAGGATGAAACAAGCTCCAGAAAGAAGCCAGTGTCTTTCTAGAAGAGCATGTCATCCTAACAGCAGCAGAATTATGGGCTGGAGCGTCACTGCAGGGGGAGGAGGGAAACACCAGCGAAGTGCCTTTGGCCAGGAGGCAAGGAGCACAGTGAAAGAAGAAAGAGCTCCTCCACCCCCACCCCCCAAAAAAACCCAGATGCATCTTACAAATATTGGCAAGGGCTGCCAAGAATAATTTCACTGAAAGAAAAGAGCTCTTGAGAGACATGAGGAGTCAGCTGCTGTTCACCAAATTCTGCCTGGAGGAGTAAGGTCCTGCTTTGAAAGTTACCAAGCATACTCCCCACCCTTCCCCTAGTTGCCAATTCTCCCTGCCTCCAGAAAGGATTCCCTCATCCTTTCTATTATGAAGGCAGTTGGTGCTTGTTTTTCCTACCTGGCAGGTGGGAGGGAAAAACAGGATACAAATCACTCTACCTTAATTTGCCTCTAATAAAACCGAGAAAAGCATCACCTATCTGTCTTATTAATACAGAACAAATTGATGCTGGCATTCTTTATGTTGCCTCACAGGCTGGTGGAAAACACACTGAACCTGTATACTCCCTTAGTTTTCCTTATTGATTAGGATCAGAGGGATGTGTTCTTGTGCCTTCCTTTACCTTTTGAAAGAAAAAGTTGTTATATATGCATTTCCTGGAAGAATCATTTTCAGCAAAGTTTCTTTCCCAAAAATGCAATTAAAATCCATCCCTGCTACTTCATCTTTCCTTGTAAATAGGCAGGAACGGAAATCTTCATGCAATCTGAGGCGATGGAGCATGGGGAGAGCTATAGTATAATCTGATTCTGCTTTGGTTTGGTATTTTCAAGCTTCTTGCTTTGAAAGAAAATCTTAGAAAAGTACAAATACAACTTTTTGATTTTTTGTGCAAATAGCATGTATTGGATACCTTGATACAAAGTATAAATTCGCATAAATTTATAAATTAAGGACCATGTCCAAAATCTAGGGATAAAACTTATTTTTCAAGGAATTTAACTAATGGCCAGCTTGGATTGTTCTATAATTCCAAATATGTTTAAGATGCCATGGATAAGCTTTATAATATTTTAAATAAAATTTCCTCTCACCTCTTTACATGTCTGATCTCTATTCTGTCATGTTTCTATTAAACAATATATCCATTGCTAATTGCAGAACCTGCATCACAACTAATAAGCACCTGCTATGTTTAAAGCAAGAAATGGAGATCAGCCATGGCATGTATCCCAAAATCTTTGCAAAATCATTTGTCTGGGGAGAATGGGTCAAATGGCTTTTCCAAGTACTTGGAGAGAGAAAGTAGGCTGCTGAGCATGCCCTCCCTGCTCAAAATATATTATCCTCAATCAGTTGAAAAGAAAAAGTCTTCATTAAAAACCAGGGAGCAGGATTTTGGTATTCTAGCTATGTGTCTGGTTATTTGGCCTTCAACTTCTACAAAACTAGTCAACACTGCTTGGAATATATAAAAAGATCTGGGCTACAGAATGAAAACTTTTAAATAGAAAATCCAAGATCTCTGCAGACCCCAGCTGAGAAAAGGCCAGTGATAAATGTAGCCATAATAGCTTCTTCCCAAAGCTGCTTTGGTATAGATGCTCGGTCTTTGCAAAGTGCGTGAACTCTACTGTCCTGTGAGCAACCCACCCTGCCCTCTTATTAATCAAATTCTGGCATTGCCACACTTAGTGATAGCGTTTCTGCATCTGATGGTCCCTGTAATCCACCTCTAGTGCCCTCTGCATTTTGCCATTTGCTGTAATCACGCAATCTCCGGGAAAAGCCCAGATGAATTGTCAGCAGCTGACCAACTTTTCCGGAAAGATCCAGGACAACCGCAGCAGTGGCCCCGTGCAGGGCAGCAGCAACACTCTGCAACCTGATAGGGGTCTCTGTGAGAAACCTGCCATCCTTCACGAGGTCTCAAATCCGCCGCCTCACCTTCCCTGGCTTCTTTGGCCGTCTTACTTCGGCGGGCCCATCCAGCTCCACACCCCACCTCCCAATTGCCCAGATATGAATTGCAGCTGGCTTCGGAAGGATTTCTCCGGACCTGCTGCTCCCTAATAACTTTCCCCAGTGGAAAGGCAAAGCTAAGGACCTTCCTGAGCTGTAGGGCCCGGGGTGGGGGGGTGGGAAGAGACGCTTCCTTACACCGGCGCGTTAACCACTAGTGGGCGTTTCGACAACGCAGAGAAGCCTCGAATGTTGGTGAGAAAAGGGACCAGTTCCCGCAAAGGTGAGGATTATTTTCACTCCGTAGAATATGGGGCGGGGATTACACACTATGAGGAAACAGAGTGGGTACAATGGGTGAGTGCGCGCGCAGGAAAACCACCCGCCTCCGATTCAAATAGGACGCGGAAAGGCCGGGGGCGGGGAGATGGGGGTGGGGTGTCAGGCGGCAAGGGACGAGGAAGAAAGCTCTATAGTGGGGCAAAGCCGTTCCCTCGTTCGTGGGAATGGCTTTACCTCCGTTTCAGTGCGGCTCCCGCGCAGTGGTGTATTAAGCACGTGCTTAGAGCACCAGGCCCAAAGTGGGCACCACAAAAACTTTTTATGTAGCCGAAGCTTGGCTTCGTTTGTACAGTATGTACAAAGGAAGGGGGCATCATGACTTGTCAGTGCTTAGGATGCCAGTGTGCCTTAATCCGCCATTACTCCCGCGTCAAAATCCCGCTGAAGAGAGTTGAGAAAGCATCAACCGCATGGTGGGTGGCCTCGCTTGCAGCTTTGGGTTTCTGACGGCGGAAAAGACCAGCGAGCTTCTCTCAACAGCTCCGATCCAAAAAGCAGTGAGGGGCTGGCCCTGGTCACGTTATCCTTTCGCGCCCGCTGAAAACACCGCCGAAACCCGCTAGTCCCTGGCTCCTCTTATATCATATCTTGGTCAGATCTCCCTCCAGGTTTCCAGAGAGAAGGCGCGAAAGTACGAAGCGGGTTCGGTCAAAGGGTAGGCAAGGGTGCCCAACGCCATTACCACCACCACCAGCAGCGTTGCAACCGCCGTGTGTAGGACTCGCACGGGGGTCCGGCGATGATTGGAACAGTCCCGTCCGGCGAACCGAATAACTTTCCACCGTGGCGGGCAGACCAAGCTTCCTCCCACCCAGAACGCGCGCGCACCTGGTATGCCTGACGCGGCGGTGGAAAGGCGGTGCGCCCCACCTACGCGCCAGGTACCCGGTGCGCGGGTTAGGCGAGGAGCGCTGCGCTGACGAATCCGGGTTGGCCTCGCTCTAGGCACGGATAGGCTGCAGTAGCAGCCAAGGAGGACCTCGCCACCTGCAGTCCAAAGCCCCTGGAGAGAGGAGAGCGGCAAAGCCCGAGGTGAGAAGGCCCCTCCTCCTTGCCACAGCTCCGCCTTCTCCTCTTCCTCCTCCCCAGTTGGTGATCGCTCTGCATCTGTCTCCAGCAAACCTGATCCATCCCCGCTCGCTCTTGCCCGATGGCGCTGCCTAACCAAGCCCAGGCGAAGAGCAGGAACCTGAGGCGGCAGGTATGACGGCGGCATGGGCTCGACTGGGAAAGTGGTCCGGGAAGGGAGGAGGGAGTGAAAGGAAAGTTCTGGACGCCGAGAGCTCTCCTGACTGCAGTGAAGCCCGCTCGGAGGGGCAGCAGGACTTTGGCAACACTCAGCCGCAGGGGACGCTCTCCACCCCCCCCCCCCACCCGGGCCACCCCCCTCCCCCCCCCCTCCACCCCGGGCTCCCCGCAGTACGTGGCCGCCGCCTGAAGTTTTCAGCCGCGTCGGGAGATCCTCGCTTCTTTCTTTCCCGCCGAGGATATTGCCCTAAAGCAGGAGCAAGAGAGTGGAGGCGATGATTGCGGTTGGCGCCGACGAGGCAGCTGCCCTCGCTCCGTGTCGGAATGACGGTGGTGCGGCCGGCAGCCTGGGATAGCCGGTCGCCTTCCCACACCCGCCCCGACCCTTGCGGGTTGCGGTGTCCTGCTGCCGCTGAGGCCGCTGGTTCGCGACGGTCCCTGCTTACCCCGTCCCCAGGCCCCGTCCCCCGGCGTATTTAGTTGGAAAATTTGGGGCCTCTGCTCAGCAGCGGCTGCCTCCAGCAACTCCTCTGGATTTTCCCCAGGTGCGTCCGCGTGTTCCCCGCGCTGGTAGGCAGGTTGTGCGTGTGTGTGTGTGTTCCTAATCAAACCGGCGCCCCGGTTCCCCCACCCCTTGTCCGTTTGCCGGTGGCTTCGTCTGGCTCAGGGACCGGATCGGGATCGCGGCAAGATTATGTAATGCCGGCTGGTTCCGGCTGATGGGGCTGGGCTGCCTGCCGCCTCGTCGCATGCGCGCACAGGGGGGCAGAGCGCTGAGTGCCCGCCGAGGGTCCCGAAGCACGGGGCCGCCCGTGAGCGGGACCACCCACTAGTGCTCCTGACCTGAGGAGAAGGCCTCGCAATCAACCCTGGGTGTTTCCCTCAGCTGGGGAAGGTCCCTCTTTCAGAGGTGCCATCAGAGGTGCCATCAATGTAGGAATCCTCGGGGAAGAAGCCCAGAGCCCCCTCTGGCAGAACGAGCGCATCTATTGCAGCGGGGCTGCGTTATGAAACCATTAAAGTCACTTTCGCCGGCAATGTGTTTTGGGTCAGCTCTATACTCTGTGGAAAGTCGGCGTTGTTTTCACTCTACCAGTTTCAGCCTTTCACCTTAATTATGAAAGTCCCTTCAGTCCCCTCCAATCAATGGAAGGTTGTTAAGAGTTAGGTGCCTGTGTAGCAGCTTCCCTTAAAGGATGAGGAAGTCGGTTTGGTGCCTTGACTTCTCAGAGAAGCGGTGGGGATAAACAAAATAAAAGAAGAGGAAAAGTTCTTGAAACAGGAATCTCCCTGGAGAAATTTATTCTCAGAAACCCTGAATTTCTTGGGGGAGTTTTAAAGGCAATTGCTTGAACCCAGGGATGTAGGCTTCCTTTCCTGCTTGTTTCCAGTGCTTGAGGATGGTACTTTGCTAGGAATTGCTTCCATCCATTTACTACCACATCTGAGCAAAAGAAATGGCTTCTTTCCATCCTTGGTTTTACAACGCTGTCGGTGCTTTTGATGCCCAAGTAAAGGAAAAGTCCTTTACTCTGAGGAACATGCAGTTAGTTGATTATACTTTTCCCTCTACGGGGAGAGAACCAAGGAAGAAAAAAGGAGAGCAGCAAAGTTTATATGGGTTGCAAAATAGCCCGTTTCACCTCTTCTTTATGTCCTTTCTCACCCATATTTCCTTCCCATGGGTGGTATGCTTTCCCTGGGTTTATCCAGTTCTGAAATTAGGACTATTTTCCTTTCTCTGATGGGGACTAAAATGTGGATGATGCTTCAAAAAATAAGACAAGATATTATTGGGCAACTCAGAAATAATAAACCACTCTACCAGGAAACTCTTTTCCCAAGCCTTGCATGTTTAAAAGAAAAAAAAAAAACAGCTGGAGCCCAATGAGAGGGATGCCTTCTCTGGTTTGTTGCAGCTGAGAAAATCTGGTCTCAGGATACAAGGAGAGTTTGCCCTGCCATTCCCTATTGACTGGGTGGCAGCTCTTCTTCTGGAATGTGTCATGAACATAAGGAATTCTTGGCAGCCTGGAATGATTGCTGCTTATCCTCTTCACTGCCTCCTATTCCCTTCTTGATGGCTCTTTTATTCAAGGTCACTGCAGTAATTTCATATGTGGCTGCCTGGTGCTGCTGTCTTATCTACCACACCGTTTCTGTTTCTCTCTCTTTGCGTTCTGGGAATATTTGTGTTCAATAAAACCTGCTGCTTTTAAACACCCTTGGCAGCACTCCATAGGCAAAGACGTTCTCTCGTTTCTACCTCTTGTTTCTATAGCTAAAAAACCGACAAGTTACAAGGCTCGTGCTGGCCTTGAAAGCAGCGAGTTCTTCGGTGGAAATGCTTTTCTCCCCTCCCCCCTCCTAAATCTTGGATGTATACAAGCTAAAATTACAAGGTATTCTGCACAATTCTCAGGGCATAGAAAGAATTCAAAACTGCTCGTGTTCCGGTGCTCTGCTTTGGTTCATGCCAGTCCAAAGCAATCCTTACAACTGGGGTGGGTACCACATTAACTCCTGCATCCCGGTATTTTGCTAGATTTTCTTTATATTGTGAATGAAGCTCCCTAGAAGGTTTCTAAAATGGACGTATAGTCAATACTCCTGGTGCCTGGCACTCCTCAAGAGGATGGGACCCAACATTGTCTAGAAAGAAAAATTCTGACTCTACTCCTCAAGTTCCAATGATTATTTTTCAAAAGCACTAATAGAGTATTTGCTTCAGGAGGAAGAGGAGGCAGGCTTTTTAATCATAGCCTTTTAGAAACTCAGGAGATTTCTGGAGTTAGTTGTTTGCCTTTGGTGGGATGCTGCTCTGCCTCTTTTAGTGGTGCCTGCATGATTGGCCTTTCAGGTTCAAACTTCAATACTTCATCACTCCCTTTTCTTCATTTATTTCCCAGCATGCCTAAGGCTAAGGCCTCATTTGGCCTCCAGCTTGTTCTTCCTTTGCCAATATCTTTTGGTATTTTCTGCCATGCAGTTTTCTGTAGGTTGGGATAGAGAATCTATCACTTTCCAGACGTGCAATTTCCAAAATTGCCTCCACCATGAGCCTTGATGGCTTAAAATTCCCATGAAGGCCAGCAATATCCTTGCTGTTTCGGTGAAGAGATCCTTAGCATTGATCATTTTTAAAAGTATAAAAGGTGATGAAAATCTGCTGGACCAGAAGGACAAATGATCTGACCAGACCATTGTCATTTTCCAACACAGTATATAAATCAGTCTCTTTCCCACGCAATTTTATATAGTATTTTGATGCCTGTATTTATTTCCTCTTCCTTGTGCATTTCTTTATTGTCCTGCCTTGCATTTCTTGGTAAGGAGCACACTCAAAACCTTGCCATTTCCGATTTTTTTTCTTTTTTCTTTGGATTAGCTGACACTAACTATGGCACTAAACTATCAACAAACACTGCTTTGGCTACCATATAAATACTCGATACTTCTCAGTCCCATAATTCTGTGTTTCATAGGGCTGCAGTCATACAACAACTTAGAAACTGTGACAACTTGCTGATGGCTCTCAAAACAGTTGAGTCATCATGGGCGCTTTGTGTGGCCTGTTATTAATATTGCAGCTAATGCAGGTAAGTTAGCTTTTGCTATGAGTTGTCCATTCTCCAGTGATTCTATAGCATACTAAGTATATTAAGTTCAAACACCAGTCAAATTAGTTGCATCATATGCAAGTCAAATATGTGTGTACCAATTCTGAACTGTGTTATGTTTGGCTTCAGTCATTTTTCCTGGCACCACTATGTTCTAAAAACAGTAAGTAGGTTGGATTGTGTACAGAAATCAATATAGGGAAATGACTTTTAAAAGAAACTCTGCTAGCCATGTATTTCCAGATTCTGCATCCCTGACTCACTGTCATTTCCTTTGGGTGGAGAAGGATATCACATCTCACCTTGGGTTAGGATGGATGAATATATCCAGGTTGTAGGTTTTGCAAAATTTGGAGTTGCCCTAGAGAGAAATGGATATGACTCATTTTTGTTCTGCTTTTGGAGTCATACATACTTCTCTGGTCTTTGTTTTATGACTATAAAACTATAAAATATTTCAGTCATGGAGAAAAATAAAGTTATGTATGAGGTTTAATTCTGAGTAATTTAAGAAAGCAAGGTGTGAAAGAAGGAGTTAAACTACTGAATTGCAATGAATTCCCTATAAAGCTGGGGTGTCAAACTCAAGGCCCAGGGGCTGGATCTGGCCCGCAGGGTGCCTAGATCTGGCCCACGGGGCCAGCCTGGAAACAGTGAAGGACCGGCCCGTGATGCCTCTGCCAGCAAAAACAGAGCTGGAGACCACGTGCAGCTCTCACTAGCTCCCTTTTCGCTGGCAGAGGATTTCAGGAGGCAGTTGCAGCCAGAAACAGAGCTCACAAGGAACATGTGTGGCCCTCCCAAGCTCTGTTTTTAATGGCAGAGGGTTGCAGGAGGCTGTCGCAGCTGGAACAGAGCTTGGGAGATGTTTTTGCTGGCAGTGTGCTTGGGCTACCGTAGGTGCCCCCTACATGAGAGATGTTGAGCTGGCCATGCCCACCTCACCCCCTCAATAGTTATTTAATACTGTTGTATCTTTAAGAGAGTGCTGTAATTGTGATTGGCTGAGGTTCCTCCGATGGCCATAAGATGGAGCCAGAAACCTGGTTTGTTCTCTTCTTGCATTTCCCTATTGCCTTTTGCCTGATCGTCGTTCTGCCGGAATTGCTGTGAGTCTTGCAAACTGTTAGCAAACTCCGTTTACTGAACTTTATTTATGATACTGGACTTCGTTTTTGGATTATCCCCGGACTGATTGTATTGAATACTACCTGCTTTAACCGTGTATGATTTGGACTGTTTGTTGGACTTTGTTTACCCATTTATAGGAAGTAAAACCTACATTTTACTATTCAGTGTATCTGTATGCTGATTGTGTGTTATTCCTCACCAC